TTAAGTTGCCCAGTGCTGACAGGCTGTAAAATGAGAATTTCATGAGGCCCCAAATGAGTCTCATTTTTGTTCAAGACAATCCCCGTTTCTGAAACTTTGCAAAAACTGTCATCATTTACAAAACTCATCAAAAGTTTCAGCAATCTTCCCAGCATTGTCCATGTGCCAGAAAAGCTCCATTAAATGAAGGTCATTACTTTTGTATAAGAGTACTAGGATGATCAAATAAAAACATTGTGAAAGAAATAACATCCATGGTATGTCATATGCTTACATCCTGGCACAAGAGTTAACTTAAAAAAAAAAAAAATTAGGATCTAATTTGGCAAAAATCTTGACGCCTTGCATCTTAAACAAAATTGACACTGTATGATACTGCAGCCTTATTGACTTCTCTCAAATCAATACAAAATCTAATTTCAGGAAACGCTTTTATGGCACAATCAAAACTTTAAACATCCAGTTGCTGCTGTCATGGATCTTCTCTAGAATGCCTCTTGACAATAGTTTATCGAATCCCTCATTCATAACTTCCAGTAGAACATAATGAATGCACTACAGGTTCCTGAGAACAGAAGGAACTGAATCAACCAATGTAACCTTATGAAAATTTTCTGTAATCTGCACAAAGTCTTTAAACAGAATGTTAAATCAATTCACTACGTCAAGACTGAGTTTGAGAAATTACATCAGAACCATGATGTAGAGAGCCATCTTTCCGTAGAAGGCAGTGTTAAAAAGGACCTTATCTCCACATCGCCTTCAAGAACAGACATAAAATCAGCCATAATATAGTTTCTTCAAATAAATTGTGCTACAAAATATCCCGTGTGTGTTGTTCAGTTGCTCCACTGCTTCCCATTCTTCGTGGCCCAACAAGCATCATTTTGCCAGGACTGTCAATCAGTGATTGCTTCTCTGAGTTCTTGAAAGCTCCTGTGATGGTACCTAGTCACCTTGTCTTCTGTCAGCCTCTTTTTCTACTGCCTCTGATTTTTCTAAGCATCAATGACCTTGCCTTTGCATTAGGTATCCAAATGTTTAAACCTTAGCTTCGTTATTAACCCTTGCTATGAGAAGTCTGGCTTTATTTCATCTAATATTAACAGTTAGTTCTTGTTGCAGTTTTGTTGCAGACATTCTCAACAACTTTTTCATAGGTCTTCATAGTGCTTGATCATCCTCACTGCCTTTCCAATTGGTCTGACTTCTAAAAGCATGTTGGCCCAAATCAGACATAATACTTGGGGTAGAATCTGACCTAAGCAAAGAAGGGGAAACTCTAGCTTGTTCAGACATTACTTTCTCATGTTCAGTCCATCACATGAGGAACAAGAAGCAGCCCCGCTCCTTTCCTAGTTTTACTGATGATGTGAGTGAATAGATGATGTTCATGCATATAACACAGTTCTTTGAAGGAGAATATCTACCACTACCTAAGATTACATCCATGTGAGCTGGAACCTTGATAGTGGTTCATGTGGCAGGTAATGGCTCAACAGGGTTTCTTATTTCCTATAATGATTAGGAAACTATGGCTTTATGGATGCAGCCTAGAATTCCACTTGTATTTTATTTCATTAGCAGCAACATAAGACTGCTGGCTCATAATTGCATTGCAATAAACTATAATTCCAAAAATTTTTATACAGATACCATTGTATGTGTTTAAATACATTTGTCTCTGTCTCTCTATCATCTATCTATCTATCTATCTATCTATCTATCTATCTATCTATCTATCTATCTCTAAAGATGTCTGGGTGGCAGATAGAACTTTGATATGGTTTTGGTCAAAACCAACAGGACTCCATGTTAAGAAAATAAACTATAATTCCAAAAATTTTTATACAGATACCATTGTATGTGTTTAAATACATTTGTCTCTGTCTCTCTATCATCTATCTATCTATCTATCTATCTATCTATCTATCTATCTATCTATCTATCTATCTATCTATCTATCTATCTCTAAAGATGTCTGGGTGGCAGATAGAACTTTGATATGGTTTTGGTCAAAACCAACAGGACTCCATGTTAAGAAAATGTTCCTTCTTGCCAAAAGTTTAAAAGAAAAATATTCATTTTCAGTCAGCCAGATTTAGGTTAGCTCTTGGAAAGGAACCTCAAAAAATCAAGAGATGAACATTCAACATGAAATAATTCTGGAAATGAAATAGTACAGAATCAAGGTTTGAAGATTTAGCACAGTTTTATCTCTGGCTCAACTTGACATGAATTGAGTACTGCATAGAGAAACTTTCTACAACCTGCTGATCTTCCACTGGTTTGGATTTGAACTCCCCAAATTTCCCACCAGCAAAGGCAAAATCCCCAATACTCACACACACTTGAAGGGCTGGAGAAATGTTACACAAACTTAGTACAATTATTATTGTTGGGTGGTTGACCCTGGTAAGCAAAGCATCATTTGTGAAGTGGTAAAAATCTGCCTTACGTTGAATCCAGCTCTTGGGTCATGCAGGCTTATCTATTGCCCAGTCTGGCTCTTCAGAAGCTTGGATAAGATCTTTTCCAGTCTGCTTTTCAAAAACACTTCAATGGACAGACCAAGAGTTGAACTTGTCCTCCACCACTGAGGTTCTGCAGCTGCTATTTCACCTGCTCCTTTCTTATCGCTGTTTAGCTTTCTATGACCTCTCAAAGCCAAGAAGATGACAACGTAAACCTCTGAAATCTTTTCCTGCCCATTCTGCACCCACTTTTGGCTGCAGTTCTACTTGCTTGGATTCCACAGTAAAGGCAAAGATGACTTTACCAACAATAAATGTGTTCTTTGATCCAATATACTTTTTTTCCTGGATTATGACTGTTAAGTGATAAAGTCTTTGGGGTCATGGAGGAAGGCAAACAGTGGCTGGTTAAATAAAGCTGATTTAAAAATGAAATTGCTTAGCAAATGTGTAGTGGTCTGCCAAAATATACACGGCGCCCAATGGAAGCCAAGAGCTTCAGAGAAATCTAACATTTTAACTGCTGGTCTGGATTTTTGCAATGCAAATATGGTCGTTCCAATCCTTTCTATCTGGGGATTAAAACAAACAAAAGAAGCACAAGCTAATACATTAAATTCAGGCTGTTGACCTTCACTGAAAGATCCTCGTAAAGCTGTAAATTAGGCTTTGGGCTTAATTGTGCTCAGGAACTGGGCCTTTCTTTTTTGAAGGAGAGAGAAAAGAGATCGAATGACAGTATCGGACAGTTCCTTGCACTTGCTCAACCTGCAAGCAGGATGTTAAAATATTTTAATGCATTTTAAGTTCTAAACATTATTCTTTGTCCCATGCTTCCCGCTAGGGTGGTAATTCTCATTATCACCGTATGTTACTGCTTAATTTGTGCCTGTTCACACTGGAAAGTTCAAAATTGCAGCTTGCTATATAAACAAGCCTCTTGGCTGCAGATTTATAGCGTGTACCTGAATAGAGGACCTCCTCCAGAAAATTGCTCAAAAGTATTATAATTATTAGCTCAAGGCTCCCTGGGGAGTGATGCAAACTACGCTCTCTGGTTTTGATAATAACTGAACCCCCTGAATCTAGAGAGAGAGCTTCAGATTGCTTTAAGGCAATGTTTCTCAAACTTAGCAACTTTAAGATAGGTGGACTTCAA